CACGCATACACACACACACACACACACACACACACACTCTTGCAGTCTACAGACAGGAGTCACTGCTCACACACACACACGCATACACACACACACACACACACACACACACACTCTTGCAGTCTACAGACAGGAGTCACTGCTCACACACAGCAGAGAGGAGAGAAACTGCAACTTTTATTAAGAAGTTTAAATAAAAGATAAATGCATGAGCATGATACGTCGAGTAAAAACATTGATTTAGACATTTTGCATATAACAGTCGTCATCGGTTACGTTGACTATGTGAGTGCTACAGATTAAGTTTATACTTTAGTGAGCCACCCTTCATGCTGCTGTTTGAGTGGATGTAAAAGAAGTCTAAGTGAAGTTTCCATCTTCTAACCATATGTGATCAATAAAATGCCCCCGCTGGATTTGCTTGATAGACTTTTACGTGGGAATTCACAGTAAACGGAAAGCAGATGATAAAAGCAGCCAGTCAAAGTCTGCTAAGAAAACAGCAAATTTCCAAAGCCTCCTGCAGTGCGTCATGGATGTGAAGCGGAGCTGAGCCTCCTCTTTGGGTCCAGTTGGGTGATGGTCTGATTTCCTGGAGCTTTGCCATCCGCCTTGGCAGTTGGGGATTCTTGAGTTTCAAAACCAGAACTGGAAATGGGCCAGCTTTGACTACTGTTTCAGATCATTATGGAGTCTCACTAATGGGAACTGATTTATGTGTACTTTCTGTGTGTGGGTATACTTTCTATACATGTGCATGTATTTACACACATGTGTGTGTATATATGGCTTTATGTTTGGTTTGAGTCTGTGTAATGCCACTGAGGTATGCAATGGAACAAAAGTGATAAATTGTAAAGGCAAATGTTTTTATATAATCTTTTTTTTCTTGTTTGCTGCAACATACTAATACCATCTTTTTTTTTATCCCTCTGCCTATTTCTTTCTGTTTGTCTTCGTCTCCTCTTCGCTCCATCCCTCCTCCCTCTCGCTGCCTTTGTGTTCCAGTGGGTACCCCTTACTACATGTCACCAGAGAGGATACATGAAAACGGCTACAACTTCAAATCTGACATCTGGTCGCTAGGATGCCTCCTCTACGAGGTAAGCTGTTGGAATATGTGCACACTCTGTCACCTTACAGTCGGAGGAGGGAGTGACAGAGGAACACACACATTCAAACATGCACATCAACAGACAGGCCATTTTAAACTCTGAATACTTGGGACATACACTATAATAAGAAAATCAGAACTTTCTCACATTATTATGACCAACTTCAATTAATTTTATTGGGATTTTATTTGTATAAACCAATATAAAGGAGGGCATGAATATTTTTTTGTTGTATGTTTTAAAAACAAACGCCTCCTCAATTTTGCAGATGACACTGTTGTAGTCAGTCTGCTGCAGGATGGAGAGATCCAGTATGGAACTGTTCTTTACTACTTTATGAAGTAGTGTGATGAGCGTTGCCTCAAGTTGAATATCAGTAAATCAAACGAGATGAGGAAAAAAAAACATCCGACTGTACCAATAATATTCATGGAATCTCCTGTGGAAATTTTGGACAGTTTTAGGTACCTGGGAACAATTTTTAACATTTTTCTAAAGTTTGGACAACACTCTGCAGAGATTTGCAAGAAAAGTCTGCACAGACAGTGTTTTCTAAGATGGCAACATCTTTTTGGCTGATTAGTGATTAGTTATTTTGTCTATTACTTATTTTAGCAACGTATTCTTAAAAGATAAGAACAAAATAATTGGCAGTGCTCTCTAGTCTGACAGACAAATTATGAAAAAATCTGCAAGCATCCCAGCCAGTAGAGACCATCCTCTTTTAGAGAAATGTGTTCTCTTCCCTTCAAGTCAAAGGTGCAGGTTGCCATCTATAGGATGCACTTGGCTGAAATATTCTTTTGTCCCAAGAGCTTTTAAAGCTCCTAATTAATTTTGACTAAGCTTGGCAGATTTTAGAACATTTTGGAACATTTCAGTTTTATTCCTTGTTATTTAGTGTGGTATTTGTGTTGACGTGTGTGGTTTATGCCTCGACTGTCTTTGACTGCTGCTGTGAACCAAATTTCCCCATGTGGGACAATAAAGAGCCAAGCTGCAGTGAAGCGCTAGTTTACCACCACATGTAGTGCTTTGCTCGTAGGCCAAAAACAATGTAATTTCAATCTCATCTGGCCAGAGCAACTTCCACCTGTTGGCTGTTCCCTATATGGCTTGTGGTAAACTGCAAACAGAGCTGCTGATGGATTTCTTCCAACAATGACTTTCTTCATGCCTCTCCTCCATAAATGCCAGATTTGCTGAGTGCATGAATAACAGTTGTCCTGCAGCTCCCCCAGAGTTACCATAATCTACTTGGCTGCTTCTCTGGTTATTGTCTCCTTACCTTTTCTGTCATTTTGTTGGACGGTGGATTGATGGTTTTCTGACAGATATTCAAAGCTTGGGATATTGTTTTATAGCCCAAACGTCTCATTTTAAAAAAAAAATATCTCCTCTACTACTTTCCTGATCTGTTTGCTGTTTTCTTTGGTCTTCATGATGCTGTTTGTTCACTTTGCAGCCTTCACAGAACAGCTGGATTTATACTGAGATTAAATTACACAAGTCAGAGGAAAGCGGGTATATGCTTGTTTTTGTTTGTTCTATAACCAGAAATCCCAATAAAACAATAATTGTAGATTTTGAGGGGTATGCATACCTTCGTGTGACGCTGTACTTAACAGTCATGTATGTTCCTACACCATAGTATTCTTATTTACATTTGTTATCAACAGTAACGTTACAGATTTCTTCACTTGTGAGTGTATAAAATATTAGTTTTGTATTTTTTTTCTGTGCCGTCTCGGAGGCCCTGAAGCTGTGTTTACGTTTGTTTAAATCGTAGAACCTGCTGAACATTGAAAAGCTTTCAAATGAAGGGAACTGACATGGCCATGTGTTTTAGATAAGGCTGCACGGTGACACTGACTAGTTTGATTAGTCAGGAGCAAAACGCTGCGGGGCTTTTTTTCTGAACCACACGGAGTCGAGACAAGCAGAGCTGAAGACCACACAGCAGAGCGAACAAAGGGGGGAAGAGAAAGAGGCAGAATAATGTTGGATGTGGACGACAACAGTCAGTCCGACCTTGCTGTTTAACAACGTCTCTGTGCCCTCACTACTCACAGATGAGCCCAAATTCAGAGACAGATTGTTGACTTAGGACCTGCCCACATTTTCCTCTCCTCGTCTCCCAACTCCCATGAGTTTGTGATGGTTTGAGCTGCATCTCAACGCATCGCTCACTGCACCTTCTCCACAGTGCCTCAGGCATAGAGGTGGAGAACGAGCGAGGAAGAAGTTTGAGCTCAGCTTGCAGGGCATAAGTTCACAGGTGCTTCATGGTGAAAATTGTGGTGTTGAAACATCAGCAGCCGAACAAAGCAGGAAGTCCAACAACTGCTCTCCTGGTTAAAAAATACAGGCAGAAACAAGTGTTTTGGCTAGCCCATGTTTTAACTCAGAAAAATCAGATTGCATTGAAATCAAACTTAAGTTTTATTTTACTCACAAACTAAAAATGTAATACTGGAAATTAGGAGTCTGCGCTATTATTTTGAGTCTTTGATATGAAGGTGAGAGCTTTTAACTTGACACTTAGAATAAGAAAGGAAGTGGTGCTTGACTATTAAAAACTGGTCACTGACTGCTTTTTATTATCTGTAGCTCAAGATCTAAAATACTGGATTGGTCAGACTTGAACTGGAGAAATCTACACTGAACAGAGATTATCTTTTAGATTTGTGAAAACTGACCAAAATTTAAAAAAAAAAAGAAAAAAAAATAGTTTTTTTTTTTTTTTTTTGAATCACAAAAAACAAGAATTTTAAGTGCTATTTTTGGGCATTAGAACCACCTTACAACTAGACTTCCAACAAAATGTCAACATGTGGGCTGGTCAAACCTGGATTTAAATATTTTACATTGGTTACAGACCATTTAAAGCAAATTGTGTGAGTTGATAAATCCTTTTTTTAACAGGAACAAAAAATGGGAATTCTTAGTTATCTCACAAATGCATATTTAGTAATCAGGATGTTTCCCCATGCCCTTCCTTCTTGCATCAAGTTCCACCTTCCTGTTCCTCTGTGTTGGTTCATTCTGTCTCCTCCTCTATTCCATACTGTGCTTTTACTATTGAATAGAATATAAATATTGTTTATTGTCCCACAGTGGAGAAGTTCTGGTGCAATAACAGCGAGTTAAATGCAACATGCACATTTAACTAGGATAAAAATATAAAGAATAAGAAACTGTACAGCAAGTACTCTCTTTTTCTTTATAGGAATAGGGTCTTGATGGGGAAATATAAAGAAATGTACTAGATCTGAATATTTGTGCTGAAAAAAAGCCTCATCAGACATTTTACAAGAAATTGAAAATACTTTAATATGGAATAATAGCAGGGATGTTATTTGAAATTAGGAAAAACTTCAAATAACAGCAAAGTTGTAAATGCTATTGATTTTTTTTTTTTGTCTGATTGTTATAGAGTCTTAACAGTTTGCTAGGAGGAAGGATCTGCGATCTTACGGTGCTTTGTGCACCAAGGATGCAGCAGTCTGCCACTGAAGGAGCTTTCCATTTCACCAACATCTCTACTGGATAAATTGTCCAATTATTTTAGCCAGATCTCTTCTGTCTCCCACCATCTGCGCTTGGTTGAGGGGGCATCCAAGGACCCAGCTGGCCTTTATCACTACCTTGTCTAACAGCTTCCTCTCAGCTGCGGAGAAGCTGCTGCTCCAACATAATACGCCGTACAAGGTGGCTGATGTCACCACAGGGTAGAAAAAAGCCTTCAGGGGCGCCTCTACACTCCAAAAGACCCCTGTCTCCTCAGCAGATAGTTTGCTCTGACCCTTCCTGTAATTAGCATCAGGGTTGTGATGAGCATCTTCATTTTAACGTACGCTCAGTGGTCCAACATTATAATGTAGCAAAACCGAAACCCAGTCAATCGATTTCAGGGTTATATCAGTGCTGCATCTCTCTACAGCCGGGTTGAGATTATCGGTCATCTTTGCAAAATCTTTTCCATGTAAAGGAGTCGTGAGAACGCGTTGGGCCTTTGAACTTTAAAGCCTTCCTGTAACTTTCAGTCGGGTTTAGTTTTTAGGCTGACATTGGTAAAAGAAAAAAAAACAAGTTTAAAAAGTTGCAGGTTTCAAACAACAACTTCTTATGTAATGTTTTGAGATGGGATTTTTGTCCTGAAACAATATTTAGCCACTCTGAGATCATAGTGCTGCAATGAATAAAGGAAAAGCTTGGTTTCCCTTTACTGTATATTTTTGAAGTCTCACAATGTATATCTTAAGCGTAATTTCATAGCAAAATCAAATTATATTTAATTTTTTCTTTGATTATGCAATTGTAAACATGATATAAGTAGTTTATTTTCAGTTTGGAGGTTTTCCTTTCAGAATCTGGAGTAAACCACGAGAAATGAGACCAAGAGATGAGAGGAAAAAAGAAAGAAGTGATCTGGAGAGCAGAATTGAAAAACTACTCGAGACTTGTTGCTCCCAGAGGGGGTTCAGAGACAAAAATGGAGATGTAGGGTGAAAAAGTATGGGAATCTCTAAAGAAAAGTAGAAAAGGTTAAGGGCATTAAGGTAGAAAAAGTCATGAGAGTGAAATGAAACGAGACAGAAGAGTAGAAAAGTAGAAAGAGAGAATAACAAATGGCGAGAGTTGAGTTATGGATTGCTGTAGCAAAGAGAATGATGGGGCGGTTTCATTCAGAGAGAAATTGTTACAGGTACAAGAGCAGACACAGAACTCCCCCCATCAGGTCAAGGTGAGTCATGCACGAAGCCTGTGGAGATAAAGATTTTACAATCGTATTGTTACCAGAGCAGTACTCACCACACCATGCATATTCTCTTTGAAGAACAGGCTCGTGCTCCGCTCTTTTCTTAGGAAGACGGCTCCACAGTACGTAGTATCTCTTTCTCAGAACTTGAGCCTTCATTCCTCTCTAACTTCTGCAAAGTTCCCTTCCACATGCCTTCTTTTCCTCACTTAACCTCCAGGCAATT